GAAAGTGAGAAAACAAGCCACCAGGTCCAGGACTTAAATCGTGGTCGGCCATGTTGGAGTCCAGCGCCCTTAAGCACCACACCACTGCTGTTCTTATTTATTTATTTATTTATTTATTTATTTATTTATTTATTTATTTTGTTAGAGGGCACATGTATTCATGAAAGAGAGAGAGAAGAAAGCACATTCTGTGGGGCATGGCCACAGTGAAACCCCTTCTCTATCACACTTTCCTTTTGAGTATGCACACACACGCATGGCGTACTAATTAAGCTGCCAGATCCATCTAAGACTTGAACCACACGGTCAGCCATGGATCCAGATGCCTCAACCACCAGGCCACAGAGCCAACCCGTTCTTTCTTTTCTTTTCTTTTTTTGAAGAGGTTTTTGCTATAGGGCACGTGCGCTTGTCAGAAAGACAGAGAGAGACAGAAAGTGAGAAATCACCCCGCAAGGGGGACGGCCACACCGTAATCCCTTCTCCTCCATTCTCCTCTTGGGATCATGGGTATGCACGCACATGTGCCCAACGTGAATTTAAGTCACCGGGTCCGGGACTCGAACTGTGGTCAACTACATGGGAGTCCAGTGACATAGCCATTATGCCAACTGCTGGTCCCCACCCTGTTGTTCTTTTAATATTATCTATTTGGGTATAAAATAACTTATGGTAGTTATCTTTTATTTTTAAATGCCAGAGGTACATGTGTCAGAGAAGCATCCTCCAATGAGTCACATGTGAAAAGCAGGCAGTCAGAATTCTCCCAACTCCTCTAGCTCTTTGCAGGAGCTTTTCAGTTACGGAGTCCTCTGCAATCCTTTTCCTCCATTGCAGATGTGCCTAGCATGTTTTCAAGCTGCTAGGACCAGGATTTGAACAGTGGTTGGTTGTGTGGGATCTGGCTTTCTATGCATAGTGTTTAACCACTGTGTTACGGGGCCAGCCTAAGGGTGGTTACCAAGAACAATTTTCTCCGAACATCAATTACAGGTAATTAGGTTTTTTTTTCTTAAGGAATTATTTATTCAATTTTATTTATTCATTCATTCATTCGTTTTAATTTGACCAGAGAGAGCTTCTCCTCCATTCTCCTCTTGGGATCATGGGTATGCACGCACATGTGCCCAACGTGAATTTAAGTCACCGGGTCCGGGACTCGAACTGTGGTCAACTACATGGGAGTCCAGTGACATAGCCATTATGCCAACTGCTGGTCCCCACCCTGTTGTTCTTTTAATATTATCTATTTGGGTATAAAATAACTTATGGTAGTTATCTTTTATTTTTAAATGCCAGAGGTACATGTGTCAGAGAAGCATCCTCCAATGAGTCACATGTGAAAAGCAGGCAGTCAGAATTCTCCCAACTCCTCTAGCTCTTTGCAGGAGCTTTTCAGTTACGGAGTCCTCTGCAATCCTTTTCCTCCATTGCAGATGTGCCTAGCATGTTTTCAAGCTGCTAGGACCAGGATTTGAACAGTGGTTGGTTGTGTGGGATCTGGCTTTCTATGCATAGTGTTTAACCACTGTGTTACGGGGCCAGCCTAAGGGTGGTTACCAAGAACAATTTTCTCCGAACATCAATTACAGGTAATTAGGTTTTTTTTTCTTAAGGAATTATTTATTCAATTTTATTTATTCATTCATTCATTCGTTTTAATTTGACCAGAGAGAGAGAGAGAGAGAGAGAGAGAGAGAGCACGCGCGCGCGCAAGTGCAGAGGGAAAGTGGGAAAGTAAGCCGCCAGATACGAGACTTGAACCGTGGTTGGCCATGTGGGAATATCCAGTGTCTTAACCACCATGCCACCTGCTGGTCCCCACAGGTAATTAGTTTTTCACTAGTATGTTCTAGGTCCTGTGTATAATGTGCCCAGCACACGCTAAGTGCTCAACAAATGACAGCTGTTACTGCTGGACTGTCAGAAAAGTCAAGACACATTTTCATGTAGAAAAATATGTCATAACTTCCAACGACCTAATATGTTCACGATCAGGAGAAAATGTCTCGCTATTTACAGCTTGCCAAGTGTCACACAAAGCAGGCTCCGACTTCCTTCTCGTGTGCACCATCCATTGCACTAGGCCTACTGAAGGGGAGCGAGCATGCTGTTGAGCTTGTTTAGCCCTAAACTCAAGTCACACTGCACTCGTGTGTCTCACAATGCAGACGGTTAACAGGCTGGCCCTGCAGCACAGTGGTTAAGGGAGCCAAATCCTACAGGGCTGACCATAGTTCCAAGTCCCAGCCCTGGTGGCTTGAGGAACAAGCCAGGTACAAATCATGACAGGAGGGAGAAAAGGAGGAAAAAAGGCCGTTGTGTGACCATGCCCACCAAGGGGTGCTTTCTGTCTCTTTCTGGTGAGCATATGCACCCTACCACAACTTAAAAAAAAAGTGCACGGGCCAGCACCATGGACAAATGGTTAAGGCAGCCCAATCCCACATGGCCAACCACATGGTTTGAGAAATACGCTGGGCACATGTGCATGAACAACCAAAATCCCAAAAAGAGGGAGGGATGGAGGAGAAAGGATTGTGGTGTGACCATTCCCCTTCGGGAGCTTTCTTTCCCTCTCCATTTCTCTCTGGTGAATGCATGAACCCTCTAGCCAAAATCAATCAATCCATCTATTAAAGAATTAAGAAATGTGGTAGCCAGTACGGGCTATTACAGAACCTGGGTATTAGCCAATTGGAGGCTGAATCCTCCAAATGCATTTATTTTGTAACCTGATAGTTCAAAGGGTACCTAGATTTCCAAAATAATGGCTTTTTTGAGGGCTTGAATACCATTGAGGTTGAAAAGGAATTTTAGCTGCACCTGGGGCCCCCTTTACCAGGTACCTCATTTGGATTTTGCCCATTTTGCCATGGGTAGGGCAAAGTGGGACAGGATGGACCAGAATGGCAACCAAACAGGTCAACCAGAAACCACCAACCCAACTACTATGGTTTGAACAGCAGATGTAGATTCATGTGTTGAGATTTGATTCATATTGTGATGGAATTAAAGGAGCGGAGACTTAATCTGACTATAGGACTAAAAAGTGGGAGCCTCTGTAAGTTCATTAGGATTAGATAAGGTCAGAGTGGACCCACACGAGTGACTCCTGGTAGCTTCACAAGCAGAGACCAGAACAGACATGGATCCAGATACACATGCTCTGCTCTTGCTGTCTCGCCATGTGATGCCCTACATGTGCCACTCTGGGGCTCTGCAGGGATTCCCCCCACCAAGAAGACCCTCACCAGATGTGGCACCTCAACCCTGGACCTCCAAAAACTATGAGCTTAATACACCTCTTTTCTTCATAAATTACTCGGGGTGGTATTCAGTTGTTATCAACAGAAAAGCAGACTAAAACTTCATGTCTCATTCCTTTTTACTTTGAAATCATCATGTAAAACCCCCAAAGCAGCAGGAGGATCCAAAAACTCAGGAAAATACAAACTACTGGAATTTGCACAGTGGGGCTAGAAGATCCCATTTAGGACTCACTATGGCTGATATCCCCTGACCTGAGATCCAGGCCTGGCAACTAGCACTAGAAGCTGTACAGAACAGAATGAACAGTTGCCCACGCTAACTTTGGACCTGCTCCTAAGGCTGGTCCCTGGCTGGCATCGGGAAACTGATTCTCACTGGCCCACCAGAAAGAGTAGCTCGCTGTGCCTGGACTGCCAGACAATATGGCTCATGCTGAACACCTGCGCTCCTTCTGGGGGTCTGGAATCTGTCATGTATGCCCGGCAGGGAACGCCTGTGCGACCAACCCCCAGGAAAACCCCCAGGTACCAAGCCTTCGGTAAGCATCCCTGATTTCACCTGTGTCATCGTAACCTGCTGTTGGAGAACAAAGTGCATCCTGTGACTTCACTGAGAGAGACTGTGGACGCTGTGCCTGGTTTCCCCTGGACTCTGCCCTACATGCCTCTCCATTTGTAATTCTGCTGCTTCTTGCTCTAATGGTCTCATTCCTGAGTATGACGACAGCTGAGTCTTGGCACAGCATCAAAGCTGGGGGTGGACTGAGGGACCTGCGCCACAGAGGCTGTGTACTTACAACAATGTCCTCCTCGGTCACTCGAGGGTGCAGATTATTCACAGTCATCTTGGTGCCTTCCAAAGGGCTGAGGACAGGCTGTTACATGGACAAGAATATTAGCAGAGTCAGAGAGCAGGCCGTACTCATGGAGCAGAACTCACTTCAAGTATGTACCCAGGAAGGCACAGAGAAGACCCTAGGAACAGCTGATCACAACTGGGCCCCTTGGACCTCTGCACCCATCACACCCCCAACCTTATGCTACAGGAACAGACCCTCTTGTCATTTCCCAAATGTGAGCCTCTGCTTGGGATGCTACTCAAGTTTTAAGACCCACCCGACTTTAAGCCTTCTCAGACTTCCCAGGTGGAATGAGATGCTCTGTCCCCAGTGCTCCCAGTAGCTCTCCTCTGGAGAAGCTCTCCTGTATCACCGGATACGAGCTCTCTCTGTAGGTCCCTACTAGCCGGAAAGCTCTTTGAGAGCAGGGGTCCTGGGGCCTTAGTCTGCTCATCTGTAAAATGGGGCTGGTGATGCCTGCCTCACAGGGGTGTTTGAGGACCCAATGGGGTACATACAGCATACTGGCCACCCAGGACAGGCTCACTCTCCACTGGTCTGGTCACCTTCATCTTACCTCAGCAGGCGGAAGCTCTTTGGGGGGTTCTTCCTTGTTCACCAGGGTCCGGGACATGTTGGTCAGGGCCTTTGTTCGAACAGACGAGGGGAGAGCAGGAGCTGTGTAGGCATCATTCTGAACCACTTTGGTAAGAGGAAGGGCCTTGGACATGGACAGCTTGGAACTACTCAGTCCAGCCTGAACAAAGATGCAAAAGGACTCTGAGAAGCCATGCCTGGGCCCTACGAAGCATCCTTAGGGCTGACGACTAGGAGCCCTTGATGCCCTCAGCTCCCCAATTCCATCAGAGGTCTGGAGCTGAAGAGGTTGCTGATATTAGCGACACCCACAAGGAAGAGACTAGAGGGAGAGAAACAGGCAACCCAAGCATGTGCTCACAGAAGCCACTTTCTTTCCACAGCGCTTAATCTCTTGGCAGGAAGCTTCCATACAGCCTTGACCTGGCAACTTCCCAGGAGCCACAGGCTCACCACACCATTTGGAATTTCTAAAAACTCTACAATCTTGGGTTTGTCAGAAGGGCAGAAGATTGAGGTCAAGTTCATTCTTACCAAGGCTCCTATCACAATGGGCTGATCACCAGATCCAGGCAGGCGGGGCAAAGGGAGGCCCTTGTTTTGGCCATACGGAGGCATCGCACACATACCTGGCCTTACCATGACAGTCCTCCCACCCTGCTGCCAACTGGGGATGTACACCGACTTCCTTGTTACAAGGCGATTCCAAAATGTTTGGGACAAAATGGAAGTATAAAATTGTTTGGGTGCAAAAATAATTTGAAAGCTGAGCCAGCCGGGGGCATGCTGGTTATGGTGGCTGAATCCCATGTGGTCAACTGCACAGTCTGAGTTGTGGACCTGGTAGCTTGAAAAACAGGGCATGTGTGTGTACAGGCTCAAAATCCCGAGAGGGGGATGGGCGAGTGCACGTGCCCATGGCAAAACTTAGAAAAGTTTGAAATCCATGCTTAGTTACAGGTTTCTTCCTTTTTGTGAGAGATTTTTGCTATAAGGCATGCACGGAGAGACAGAGTGACAGAAAACAAGAAATCACCTCCTGGGGGAATGGCCACACTGCAATCTCTTCTTTTCCATCTTCTCAGGATTTGGGGCACGCACACACACAATCCTGGCATGAGATTCAAAATGCCAGGTCCGGAACTGGAACAGTGGTCGACCATGTGGGAGTCCAGTGTACCAACCACCACACCACCTGCTGGCCCCTAATTATTTCATATGCTCTTTCCATGAACTTTTCCTAAAGACCCTGCATAGTGATTGACTGAGGAAAAAGATGCATGAAACAGAAGCAGCAGGTAGTCTTAACAATTTAGGGAAGGCTTCGGGTCCTGACTTGGGAGAGAGGAGCAAAGCAGCAACCGGAGGGCAGGTCTGATGAGGGCAGGGCCAACTCACCAGGCTTCCCCAAGCTCAAGTGAACCATCTGCCCCATGCTGGACTCCACATTCTCCGAGCTGCTGTGTGAGCCTCAAGAGCCAGGTCAGTATAGCATACAGGTGGTCCCAGGAGTCAGTCTACTTAGGCTCACTTCCTAGTTCTACCACTTACACTGGGTTGAGCAGGGTTGAGCATGTTCATCCAACCTCTCTGTGCATGCTTCCACATCCGTAAAACAATGGTAACGATAATACCCGTCTCATAGAGCAGGAGGAAGGGGAGTCTTAGATGAGTTTACATGTTTTCTCAAATAGGGCTAGTCGTTAACTGAGCTGGCTTATGGGAAGCCAAAGTGAGCAGTCTAATTAACAGAAAGGCCTGATTGATCCCTTTATAAAGAACTGGTACGGCTAGCCCCATAGGCGAGTGGTTAAAAAAGAAATCAACTGGGTGAGCCTGTGGCCTCATGGTTAAGGTGGCTGGATCCCATATAGCCAACTATATGGTTCAAGTCCTGGACCCAGTGGCTTAAAAAACACACTGGTGGGCACAGCAGGTGGTATAGTGATTAAGGTGCTAGCTAGACTCCCACATGCTCAACCACAGCTTGAGTCCTGAACCCAGTGGCTTTGAAACGTCAGGTGGGTGCATGTGCAACCAAAATCCTGAGAGGAGAACAGAGGAGAAGGGTCTGGGCATGGCCATCCCCTCTGGGGGGTGACTTCTTGCATTCTGTTTTAGTCTCTCGACATGTGTGCTCTATAGCAAAAATATCTCTAAAGAAAAGAGATGAGATGGATAAGGAGAGAGGTGGAAGAGAAGGGAATGCCTTGTGACCATGCCCCATGGGGAGTGCTTTCTCCACCCCCTCACCTGTCTCCCTCTGAGGGCACACACGCCTTCTGGCAAGTTAAAATGAGCAATAAACTGGCATTGTTCGACTTCACACATTCCTGTAAGCGCTTAACTAGTAGAATATTTGGCCACACACTCAAGGTAGCAACTAAAATTGAGTCTTTGCGTCTCTGAAGGTAAAACAAAGGACACAGCAAGGGCAAAACATGCCACTAGGCATGGCTGAGTAGTCCATTGGCCTCCCTGTTCATGACACAGCTGTAGCTTTTGAGCTGAGCAGCACAGAACCCTCCCACCCACCCACCCCCCAATACTTGCACATGCTGCTTTCTTCCCTCCTCTGCATGAGGTCTGACCAGTGCCCTAGCCAAGCAAGCATCTCCAGCATGTAAGCTGTACCTGCTGAAGCACAGAGGAGAAGTAAGGTTCATTCTTGTTAACACTAAGCAAGGGAGTCCAGGAGCAGAGAGCAGGGCCAGAGCTGCTGACCATGGAGGCCAGGGAGACGCAGAATTATCTTGCCACTTAAAAAGAATATGAGATTCCTTCCTGCGTGATCACTCACACTTTCCCTGGGGTCTCAAACACGACTAGAAGCTACAGCCCTACAATGTACTCATGGTGAGACCTTAAGCAAATCACAAGTCAGCCCTTACAAAATCAGAGAGTTGGACTGGTTCCAGTTCTGAAAAACTTATGGCCCAAATGAAGAAATATCCCTGCACTGAAAGGTCTTATTCTTGGGCCAATAAGTGGCATGGTGGTTAAGGGGCTGGACTCCCAACCGTGGTTCGAGTCCTGGACTTGGTAGCTTAAAAATCGTGCCAGGCACATGTGCGTCCATGCCCAAAATCCTAGTAAGAGAAGGGGAGGAGACGAGACTGTGGCACGACCATGCCCCACTGTGGGGTGCTTTCTTTCTCGCTCCCTTTCTCTCTGTGTCTATGCTCTGTGCATGTGCTCTCTGGCAAATTAAAAAGAAAGGTCCTATTTTCCACAACTTTCCCCATTTACCTGATCAGACACACACAGAGTGTAGAAAAAACATGAAATGTCATACCATGTGGTGGAGAAAGCTGCCTGAAGCTACAAACTTCATTTGTTTAGTAGGAATGGGGACTGTAACGTCATCATCTTCATCCAGGTCATATAAATTCTGAAAACAAAGAAACACAAGCTACTGTGGCCCATAGGCCTTCAAGAGACCCTAGAACAAGCACCAATGGGGAGATGATTGCTGGAGGGAGCGAGGGCTCCTAAGAAAAGTGGGTACAGGAAGAAATGCCTTGGGAGACCGGCCTTGGAGGCTAGAGCTCAAGCACTAACAGGGGCCTAATGAAAGTGCCAAAACTTCTAGGCACATCAGAAGCATTTTTCTACAAACAAGTAATACTGGTATCACGAGTCCCTGAAGGGCCAGCCGATGGCACGGTGGGTAAAGTGGCTGTATCCCAGGGGCTGGATCTCAGCTGACTACACGGTTTGAGTCCTGGATCCAGCTGCTTGGTGTATAAGCTTACAATCCTGAGAGGAGGGAGAGATGGAGAAGAGATTGTGGAGTGACCAACCCCATTGGGTGTGCTTTTTCACTTTCTCTCTCACTCTCTCTCCACCGAGCTCTGGCAAATTAAAAAAAAAAAAAATCCTAAAGTGTCTGTTTCTATCCTTTGGCTTGGAAAGCCCATCTAGTCATCTGGTCTAGAGAAATAAAGCCAAACTCTAGGAAGAGCTTTATTTATTAAAACACTCTTCACAGCAGAAGAATTTCTAACAGTGAATCAACAGGACACGGCTTAAACAAACTAGAATGTCAACTCACTGGATAATAGTTATTACAAATGCCGGTTACAGGAAATGGGAAACATCACAGAAAAATGCTTGAATGGGAAAAAAGAAAGAATGTCATAAATTGGATAAGAATATAACCACAACCAAAACTACATATTAAATAAAAAATAGTAACACACACAAAAAAAAAACAGGAAGGAATTACAGGAATTTCAACAGTGGCCAGCACTGGAGAACAGGAGCATGAGGGACTTTTCCACCAATTTTCTATATAAAGCACAAACAACTTTTACAAAGAAGAAGAAAAAAAGCTAGCACAAATTTAATTTTCCTCTGCCCCTCATACCTCTCCACCTCCAGACAGAAGCATCTCAAACTTCTAAATTACAAAAAGTCACATGTACCACTTCCTCCAACGCTGTAAACAGGGAACTATAGCCCAGGCCTCAGTTGGTCCTCCCAAGCAGGCCTCATCCAAACATGCATGAACACACATGCACACAAGCATTCGCACACTCACACTACCTGTTTAGCCTGGTGGTTATTGACGACATTGATCCTCATTCCAGCAGGATGAGCATGAAGTGGGACCATGGCCTTCTGCTGTGGAACCTGGAAACACTCAGTGGTCATAATTTGTCATCCCACGGGGTCCACTAAGAGCCCTTTAAGAGGAGGGGGGTCACTGAATTTCAAGTGTGATGGAGAGGCAGTTTTGGTCTTTGGTAAAAGGCACCACATAGTGCCTTACCCCCAAAAGCAGCAAAGTGACAGGAAGAATGGTCACCCTAGACACCATGTGGTAATATACAAGGAGGCTTCCTGAACCCACCCAAAAGATGCCCACTGCCACCACTCTTGCCGTTCCTGGCACCAAAACTGTTGAGAAGATGAGACAGGATTGTTTCTGTTCTCTCTGAGGGCAGCTGTAGAGGAAGACTAGGGCAAGGAGCTAGAGCTGAGCGGGTTCCGTCCTGGGCCTCGCACTGACTGGCCATGCAATGTTGGCGCAGTATTTCATGTCTCTGAAAGCTGGGGCAATAGTCCTCAGACTGGAATGGGGGATAAATAAGATCAGGTCTGTTATGTGCCTCCACACAGCACACGCTCAACTGTCGGCCTTTTCTCTCTTCTCTACGCCACTATCTCAGTTCATTTCCACAAACATCCCCCCTATCTTTTACATAAAACTGAGACAATACTTCACTTTCCTCATATAGTTTTTTGGCTATAACGTACATTAGAAGCCTCTATAAGCAGCAAAATACTCTACCAACACTTGGAAAACTGAACCTTTGCTCAAACACTGCTAGCCTCCTCCCTAAACCTACCTCGGTTACTAACTTTGTTACTAACCATGACCTACCTGGATGGTTTTGGTGAGCTTCAGGGCAGGGGTCACCGTCCCAACGGGTGGGCTCATGAAGGCAGCAGGGGAACTCCTCTTTAAACTGATCTTCTCCCGGGCATCGGCCACCTGGCGGGGCTTCGAGGACACCGTGCTCTGCTGTTTGCGGGAGTTCAGCATCTCTCTGGCATCCTGTACTTTCCCTCTGATCCGAAACCTGGCATCTTTCTGCAAAAGCTTCTCCCTGGCATCCTTAACTCCCAGCTTGAGCCGGGCATCTGAGAGGCCAATCTTCTGCCGGGCATCAAACCTTTGCTGGAAGGTGGCTGTACGTGTTGGCTGGCTGAGAAGGCTCTGCTGGATCCCAACTCGGGAACGGACACCTCCCATTCCTGGTCTGGCATTGAGCCTGCAAATACAAACTGCAATTGTAAGTGGATCTGGGTCTAAACAGTAACTCACAGAACTAGGGCCACAGTACTACTGGCAACAGAGAAGGTCCTAGAGAAATCACAAAGTGGCTCCCTGCCTTTGTCCAAGAAAACAGTTAAATCTACACAAATACTTATCCTATTTCCACAGCTTTTAACTCTGCATTATAAACAAAAATAGGGAGAGACTATCAGTTTCTAACACTAGACTGTCCTGCTCTATAGACCAGGTATTACTCAGACACCTTTTTTTCTTTGAAGTTTTTGCTATAGGGTGTGTACGCTCGCCAGAATGACACAGGGAATCAGAATGAAAGAAGTCACCTCCCAGGGGAGATGGCCACGCTGCAATCCCTTCTTCTGTCGGGATCTTGGGCATGCATGTACACATGCCCAGTGTGAGTTTAAGCCGCCAGGTCCAAGTCTTGAAGTGCAGTAGACTACATAGGCATCCAGTGACATAACTGTGACATCATCTGCTGGTCCCTCTCAGACACCATTTTGAACAATAACCTCCAATGATGCCTAACAAATAAAATAAACATGTTCCCAAAATATCATAAACCTACCCACCTAAAGAGCAACCTCAGGGGACTGGAAAATGGTGTTAAGAGTTACCTTGCTGGACTCCCACACAGTTGATTGTGGTCTGAGTCCTGGACACCCGGTGGCTTAAAACACACACCAGGCACGTGTATGTGCATGCCTAAAATCCTGAGGAAAATGAAGGAGAAGGGACTGTGGCATGGCCACTCACCCCACCTGGGTGTGTGTGTGTGTGTGTGTGATTTCTCTCTCTCTCTTTAGCGACTGCAAGCACCCTATAGCAAAAAGCTCTCTTAAAAAAAAAAAAAAAAAGCAGCTTCAGTTTCCAAAGCTCTTCCAAATCCTTGTTTTCAATCAGTCCTCGTGGCAACCAAAGATACAAGTATTATGCCCATTTTACAGTGGGAGAAGCAGGTTAGGACAAGTTAGATCATTTATAAGGGGCACTTCCAATGCAGGCAGACACTGCTACTGGGCTGGGACTAAGAAAGCCAACGTGTAGGTCTGGCTCAGAGCTAGAGGCCTAACAGATTGAGGCTAATATAAAGACTTAGAAAAGAAAAATAAAGTTGATATGCAGTAACAAAAATGTCAAATTCGAAAACTGCTAAAATTGAAAGGAATTAAACAGGTCCCACTCTCTTTCTGGGGCTCCTCTGCTAGCCTCTGGAGCTTGAAAGTAGAGAGGACTCTTCCAAGTACAAGCAGCAGCTCCTTTCCTGGGGCCTGGAGTCAGCAGACTTCTGCTTCACCCCCTCTCTTTCATCTCCCTCTCCCCACCCCTGTACTACTGCCCTGCCTGGAGATGCCTATGCTGGTTTCTTCTGGAAAATCCTCCCGTTTTTCTAGGACACCTCTTCTTTGTGCCCCTTACTATACCAGCTTGTCTTCTCTTCCCACCCTGGGCTGGGATGCCCCCACTGCCTCGTTCTTTCTCAAGCGGTGGGGTGAGACTGCTCGCCAGCTCCTCTGCTAATCAATAGCACAGTATGCTCAGAAGTGAGCCTGCCTGGTACCAATAGAGCAAATCTGGACTTCATCTTGCTGTCCTGTGAATTACAGGAAAACACCTGCTGCTTCCAAAGTCCCAGACCTAAGGCAGTCCTGCAGAATGAACATGGTGGTTCTCCTCCACTCCTGGGTTGAAACCCAATTCCCAGGATGATGGTGTTAGGAAATGGGGCCTGTGGGAGGCGATCAGATCATGAGGGCACGGCCTTCACAAACGAGATCAGTGCTCATATAAAGGTCCCAGAAAGCTCCCTGGCCCCCTCCTACCATGAGGACACAAGTCTAGAACAAGGACGGGGGGGTCCTCACCACACAGGAATCTGCTGGTATAAGCTAATGTAAAGACTTAGAAAAAGTCTTGATCTTAGACTTGATCTTGGACTTCCCAGCCTCTAGAATCCTGAGAAGCAAGTTTCTGTGCTTTTGTGTACTTTGTTCTAACAGCCCCAATGGACTAAGACAGGCAGTGATGCCCTGTACCAGTCTTGTCTATGGAAAACAGCAAACTACTTTAAGATTCAAATTCCTGTCAGTGGGGGCCAGCCTGTGACTGAATGCCACATGGTAGATTATATAGTTCAAGACCTGGACCCAGAGGCTTGAGAAACATGCCAGGTGTGTACACGCCCACATGCTCAAAATTTTGGAGAGGTTTTTGATATAGCGCACGTACACTCGCCAAACAGAGACAGAGACAGAGAGGCAGAAATCGAAAAATCACCTCCCAGGGAGGATGGCCACGCTGCAATCTCTTCTCCTCCATTCTCCTCTCGGGGTCTTGGGCACGCACACACACGCGCCCAGAGTGAGTTTTAAGCCACCGGATCTGGGACGCAAATTGCGGTCGACTACATGGGAGTCCAGTGACACAGTCATTACGCTAACTGCTGGTCCCACAAGGGGATGCTTTCTCACTTTCCTTCTTTCTGCTTCTCTCTGGTGAGGATACATGCCCTCTGGAAAAAAATTTTAAAAAGTAGGATGCTTTCCAGTGGGTTCATACAAGAATTGGGATGAAGAGGGCTGGGTGGAAGTGCCATTTATAGAACCTTTGGTTTATGACGGAAGGAGCTGCTTGTTCATCCCTGCTGCACGTTCTCAAGTACAGTGAGAGGGCTGTCCCACAGCCTGGAGATTGGGGGAGCCAGATTCCACACGGCTGACCACAGGCCAGATCCTGGGCCAGTGGCTAGACACACACTGGGTGTGTGTGTGTGTGTGTGTGCGTGCAAGCGCGCGCACACACGCGCACAGTTCCCATAGGTTGGAGAGATGAGGAGGGAGGGCTGCAGCGTGACCATGACCACGCCCTACAAGGGGTACTTTTTCCTCTTCCCCTCTCTGGTGAGCGCACACACCCTCTGAAAATGAAAAAGACTGAGAGATGGAAGCACTAGAGAAACAGCATAGGAGTGAGGCATTCAGCGAGGCCGGCACACACAATTCGGGAGAAGAAAACTGCCCCATCCACCCTCCATTGCACTGGGCTATCCAAGGTTTTGTGGTCCATGGACTCGAGTGCCATGGGTGCTAGTGGGCGAGCCTTTGTTTTTAATTTTGCCAGGGAGTGCACGTGCTCACGAGTGTGTGTGTGCGTGCATCCTCCATGTCTTTTTTTTTTTTTTTTGAGAGGTTTTTGCTATAGGGCACATGCGCTCGCCAGAAAGACAGAGAGAGAAAGAGATAGAAGGCGAGAAATCACCCCCCAGGGGGGATGGCCACACCCAATCCCTTCTCCTCCATTCTCTCAGGATCTTGGGCATGCACGTACATGCGCCCGGCTTGAGTTTAAGCCAGGACTAGAATCGCGGTCAACTACATGGGAGTCCAGTGACATAGCCATTACGCTAACTGCTGGTCCCCTTCCTGTCCTTTATAAGGGGGTAGAAGGAGGCCAGCGGGGACAGAGGAGGCACCTGGCTTTCCCCGCCCCCACTCCAGCATTCCCTCACTCCTCCCCAGTTCCCAGGGTACAGCCTCCCCGCTTGGACTTCCCTCAAAGCACTTACCCAGCTGCACCACAGGATGTGGGAATATGCCTGCATGACTGAGCTTTGCAGGGACACACCGGAATGACCAGGGCTCAGAGAGCTTGGGGTGGCATCTGGGAGCCTACAGAGCTGTTCTAGTCTCTTCTTCTGGGCTCACCACCTCTGAGGTGAGCTGTCGCCCCCTCCACTTTACGGTGGAGCCGTATCGCAGAGCTGGTAGGGATGGCTGGGACTGGACCCCAGGCCTACCTGACTCTTCCACCTTAAGAGGCTCCACGTGTCCTTCCTTCCTACTCCACACCGCAGGGGAGATAGGATGGAGAAATGATGGCTGCCCTGGAAGGGTTTCTCCTGGAGAAGCCAGCCTTCACTGACTAGCCCAGTGCCCTACAAGGACCCTGGCCTCCAACCACCCCTCCCAGCTGGGAAGCAGGCACCCACATGGCCAGGGAACAGGAGCGGAGTGGCTCCAAACCTTGGAGTGCATCCACGAAAATCTCACTGGCTTGGAAGAGGGCTCAGATCCTGACCCTCTTGCAGGCAAGGCCTCTGGGAAGAGTGATGAGCTGGTCTCTGACCAGAAAACCTTACAAATGGAGCCAGCTGCAGAGACGTCAGAACTGGAAGAATGCACTGGGAATGCCATCCACACACGTACCAAGCCAAACCTGATTTTCTTTTTATTCCTTCTTTTTGAGAGTTGTTTTGTTTTGTTTTGGCTATAGGGTATGTGTGCTTGCTAAACAGAGACGGAGAGACAGAAAGCGAGAAATCACCACCCGGGGGTATGACCATGCTGCAATCCCTTCTCCTCCCGGGATCTTGGGCACGCATGCACACGTGCCTGGCATGAGTTTCAAGCCACTGGGTCCAGGACTCAAATTGCCATTGACTACATGGGAGTCCAGTGATGTAACCATTATGCCACCTGCTGGCACCCCAAACATGATTTTTTTAAAAAAAATATTATCTTACACCTTCTATTTTATTAAAGAATTATTTTATTTAACTTCACTCATTCATTCATTTTAATTTGACCAGAGAGGGGGAGAGGGAGAGCGTGGGAGAGCGAGAGAGAGAAACCAAGCCGCTAGGTCCGGGACTCGAACTGTGGTCAGCCATGTGAGAGTCCAACGCCCATAACCACCACGCTACCGGCTGGCCCCAAACCTGATTCTTTACCGTAGATTCTCTATTTTTTTAATAATGATTTCTTTACTTAATTTTGCTATTATTTATTATTTATTTTTTAGGTATGTTTTTTTAAAAATCTATTATTTTATTTAACTTTATTTATTATTATTATTTTCCAGTTTGATCAGAGAGACAGAGAAAGAGAGAGATGGAAAGTGAGAAAGGAAGCCACCGGGTCCAGGACTTGAACCGCAGTTGGCCTTGTGGGAGTCCAGTACCTTTATCACCACGCCACC